ATACATCATATTAACAGAATGAAGGATAAAAACTATATAATCATTTCAAATGATGCTGAAAAAAGTATTTGATAAAATTCCGTATCCCTTCATGATAAAAGTTATCAAAAAATTGGTGATATAAGGAATATACCTCAGCATAATAAAAAGCATATAATGCCAGATTCAGAGCTTGTATCATACTGAATGGGGAAAAACCAAAAGTTTTTCCTCTAAGATCTGAAACATGACAAGGATACACATTGTCACCAGTTGTTCATCATAGTACTAGAATTCCATGTGCTGATGAATAGAATGTATGTTCTGAAGTTGTTGGGTAGAATATTCTATAAATATCTGTTAAGTCCATTTGTTCTAGGGTATAATTGAAGTTCATTATTTCTTTGTTGACTTTCCATTTCAATGACCTGTTTGGTGCTTTCAGTGGAGTGTTGAAGTCCTCCACTATTATTATGTTGCTATATATCTAATTACTTTTGCCTAGTAATAATTGTTTTACAGATTTGTGAGTTTCCATGTTAAATGCCTATAAATTTAGGATTGTGACATTTTTCTGTTGGACTGATTACTTTATCATTATATAAATGTCCCTATCTGTCTTTTTTAACTGCTGTTCCTTTAAAGTCTGTTTGGTCTGATATAAAAATAGCTACTCCCTGTTAGGCGCAGTGGCTCATGCCTGTAATTCCAAAGGCTTGGGAGGCTGAGGTAGGCGGTTCATGAGGTCAGGAGTTCAAGACCAGCCTCACCAACGTGGTGAACCCTCGTCTCTAATAAAAATACAAAAATTAGTTAGGCATGGTTGTATGGACCTATAGTCCCAGCTACTCAGGAGACTGAGGCAGGAGAATTGCTTGAACCTGGGAGGCAGAGTTGCAGTGAGCTGATATCATGCCACTGCACTCCAGCCTGGTGACAGAGTGAGACTCCATCTGGGGATTGGGGCACGGGGGGTGGTAAATAGCTACTCCTGCTCCCTTCTGGTGAGATCATATGATAGGCCACAAAAGAAGTCTCAATAAATTTAAGAAAATCAAAATAATATGATGTACTCTTTCAGACCACAGTGGCATAAAATTAGAAATTACTCCAAAATGAATCCTCAAAACTATACCAATACATGGAAATTATTTGCTCCTGAATGATCTTTGGGTGAAGAGTGAAATCAAGATGGAAATTTTAAAATTATTTGAACCGAGCGATAATACTTACAAAACCTATCTAAACCTCTGACACAGAAAAAGCAGTGCTAAGAGGAAAGTTCATAGCCTTAAATGCCTACATCAAAAAGCCTAAAAAAGCACAAATAGACAATCCACGGTCACACCTCAAGGAACTTGAGAAGCAAGAACAAACCAAACCCAAACCCAGCTGAAGAAAATTAATAACAAAGATCAGAGCAGAACTAAATGAAATTGAAACAAAAAAATACAAAAGAGGAAAAAAAAGCTGGTTATTTGAAAAGATTAACAAATTTGACAGATCATTAGCAAGATTAAGCAAGAAAGTAGAAGATACAAATAAGCTCAATTAGAAATAATGGGAACTATTATAACCGATACCACAGAAATACAAAAGATTATTTAAGGCTACTATAAACACCTTTATGCACAAAAATTACAAGATGTAGAGGAGATGGATAAATTACAGAAAATCTACCACCCTCTTAGATTATATCAGGAAGAAACAGAAACTCTGAACAGAGCAATAATAGTGAGATTGAAACAGTAATTTAAAAATTTGCCAAAAAAAAGTTAAGGATCAGATAGATTCACAGCTGAATTCTATCAGACATTTAAAGAAGAATTTAAGAAGAATTCAATATGAATTTTACTGAAACTATTACAAAAGATACAGAAAGAGGGAATTCTCCCTAATTCATTCTATGAAGCCAGTATCACCCTAATACCAAAACCAGGAAGGAATATAACAAAAAATGAAAACTACAGACCAATATTACTGATTAACATAGATGTAGAAATGTGCAACAGAACACAACTGACCAAATCCAACAGCATATCAAAAATATAATACACCATGATCAAGTATGTTTCACAACAGGGATGCAGGGATGGTTTAACATACCCAAGTCAATAAATGTGATACATCACAAAAACAAAGTTAAAAACCATATGATTATCTTAATAGATGAAGAAAAAGCATTTGGCAAAATCCAGCATCACTTTATGATTAAAACCCTCAGCAAAATTGGCATAGAAGGGTAATAAAGCCATTTATGACAATCACACAGCCAGCATTATACTGAATGGGGAGAAGTTGAAAGTATTCTCCCAGAGAACTGGAAAAAGACAAGGATCTCCACTTCCATCACTTCTGTTTAACATTCTGGAAATTCTAGCCAGATCAGTTAAACAATAGAATAAAATAAAGGGCATCCAAATGAGTAAAGATGAAGTCAGACTGTCACTGTTTGCTGATGATATGATTGTATACCTAGAAAACCCTAAAGACTCATCCAGAAAGCTCCTACATCTGACAAATTGATTCACTAAAGTTTGAGGATACAAAATCAATGTACACAATTAAGTAGCACTGCTATATACCAACAGCCAAGCTGAGAATCAAATGAAGAACTCAGTCCCTTTTAGGACACCTGCAAATATATATATATTTACACACACACACACACACAAATATATATATACACACACAAATTATATATATAATTAGAAATATATTTCTAAATTATAAATAACTTAGAAATATACTTAACCAAGGAGGTGAAAGACCTCTACAAGAAAAACTGCAGAACACTGCTGAAACAAATCATAGATGAGACAAATAAAAACAAATCCCATGTTCACAGATGGGTAGAATCAATATTGTGAAAATGATCATACTGCCAAAAGCAGCCTACAAATTCAATACAATTCCCATAAAAATAACACCATCTTTTTTTCACAGAACTAAAAAAAAAAAATCCTAAAATTCATATGGAACCAAAAAGCCAACATAGCTCAAGAAGACTAAGCTAAAAGAACAAATTTGAAGGCATCACATTACCCAATTTCAAAGTATACTACAGGCTATGTTACCAAAACACCATGTTACTGGTATAAAAATAGGCATGTAGACTAATGGAACAGAATAGAGAACTTAAATAAAGCCAAATACTTACAGCCAACTGATCTTTGACAAAGCTAATGAAAACATAAGGTGGGGTAAGGACACCCTATTTAACAAATGGTTCTGGGATAACGGCAAGCCACATGTAGAAGAATAAAGCTGGATACTCGTCTCTTAACTTAGACAAATGTCAACTCAAGATAACTCAAAGACCTAAATCTAAGACCTGAAACCATAAAAATTCTAGAAGGTAACATCGGAAAAACTCTTCTAGACATTGGCTTAGGCAAAGAGTTCATGAACAAGAAACCAAAAGCAAATTCAACAAAACCAAAAATAAATAGGTGGGACTTAGTTAAACTAAAAAGCTTCTGCACAACAACAGCAAAAAAATAATCCGCGGAGTAAGCAGACAGCCTCCTGAGTGGGTGCAAATGTTTGCAAACTATGCATCCGACTAAGAACTAACATCAAGAATCTACAAGAAACTCAAACAAATGAGCAAGAATAAAAGCAAATAATACCATTAAAAAATATACAAAGGATATGAATAGACAATTCTCAAAAAAAGACATACAAATGGCCAAGAAACATGAAAAAAAAATGCTCTACATCACGAATTATCAGGGAAATACAAATCAAAACCACAATTTGATACCATTTTACTTCTTCAAAAAATGCCATATTTAAAAAATCCGAAAACAATATACATTGGCATGGATATGGTAAAAAGGGAACACTTTTACACTGCTGGTGGTAATGTAAACTAATACAACAACTATGGAAAACAGTATGGAGATTCTTTAAGGTAGTAAAAGTAGAACTACTGTTTTATCCACCAATCCCACTACTAGGTATCTACTCAGAGGAAAGAAGTTATTATATGAAAAAGTCACTTGCACACACATGTGTATAGCAGCAAGATTTGGAATTGCAGAAATATGAAACTAGCCTAAATACCCATCAACCAAGAAGTGGATAAAGAAAATGTGATAGATAGATAGATAGATAGATAGATAGATAGATAGATAGATAGATAGATATACACACACCATGAAATACTACTCAGCCATTAAAAGGAATGAAAATAATGGCATTCACAGAAACCCGGATGAAGTTGGAGACAATTATTCTAAGTGGAGTAACTCAAGAATGGAAAATCAAACCTCATATGGTCTCACTTATATATGGGATCCAAGATATGAGGATGCAGAGCCATACATCTAATGGACTTTGGGGACTCAGAGGGAAGGATGGGAGGAGGATGAGGGACAAAAACCTACAAATTGGGTACAGTGTACATTGCTCAGGTGATGAATGCACCAAAATCCCAGAAATCACCACTGAAGAACTTTTTTCATGCAAACACCACCTGTTCCTCAAAAACTACTGAAATCAAAATAAAATTTTAAAACAACAATGCAACCCAATAATTTAATTTTCTTCTCTTTCCACTTGACTGTGACTGAGACTTACTGTCTCAATAAATTGTACTAGTGTTTATAAAAAAAAAATCTGTTCACAAAACCTCCTTAACATGCAGTTTACTGATATAAGAAACCTGCACATGTACCCTTGAATATAAAATAAAAGTTAAAAATTGTAAATAAATGTATAACTAGTTTTAAAAACTAAAAAATTTAAATTCTGAGGAAACCAAAGAAATTTAATTTCCAGATTGTTGGAGGGAGTGGAGAGGGTGGCATTACTCTTTACTGACACATATTCCAGTTCAAATTTAGCTTCCAGGCATAGTGATGTACATTAATTTATATAATTGTGATTTTAGAATTTAAAAATGGCAAATTTTTGTTAATAAATTGTAAGTCAAAGTTTAAAAATAATTTCTTTGGCAGCAGACATATTAAAATTTAAAAACATAAAATTAATCTAATATGATTTTATTTTGGTAGATATATCCTGATTGTTTGGCACAAGCCATATATGCAACATTCCATGAAGCATTTCCAGAATCTAGTTACCGCTTTAATGATGAATTTAAAGAAGATCTAGGAAATAACATTTTTCTTTGGTGTTCAGGTATGAATATATCATTTAATATTGATCATTGTTTTGGTTTCTAAAAGTTTGGAGTGGCAGTATTTTATTTATTTCATCCAAAAAAAAAAATGGTAGTTCTTTTTCTTATAAAGCATGCCATAGCAGTATCCATGGGTTAAAATAAAAGTTATTTATTTTCTTCTGAAAATTTCATTACACCGTTACTTAAATTGCTACTTACTAAATTTAGAAGCCAAATATTTTATAAACAATGGATTTATTATGGAAAACTGAAATGTCACAGAAATAAAATCATACCATGTATGTAGTATCTTTGCACCATACATGTTTAAGCTGCTTTTAGAATACTATGTATACATTTTCATAGCAAGTAGTATTATTTAGGATAAAATCTAGAAATATTTATTTATTTATTTATTTATTTATTTTGAGACGGAGTTTCGCTCTTGTTACCCAGGCTGGAGTGCAATGTCGCAATCTCGGCTCACAGCAACCTCCACCTCCTGGGTTCAGGCAATTCTCCTGCCTCAGCCTCCTGAGTAGCTGGGATTACAGGCACACGCCACCATGTCCAGCTAATTTTTTGTATTTTTAGTAGAGACGGGGTTTTACCACGTTGGCCAGGATGGTCTCGATCTGTTGACCTCGTGATCCACCCGCCTCGGCCTCCAAAGTGCTGGGATTACAGGCTTGAGCCACCGCGCCGGCCAAAATCTAGAAATAATTTAATTTCTCCAAGAACATTAATCATGGAAAACCTGTTTTTGAATCACTGTGTGTGTGTAGGTAAAATGATAGGATTGGAAAGCTAAAGGAAAGTAAAACTCTGTCCTAGAACATTTATCAAGAGATTTAAGTACTAGGGTTTAAAAGTAAAGTATAAAAATATAGTTTCCTGTTCCCGGAATGACCTCCCAACATTTTTTATAAGATTGTTATTATTAACCACCGGAAACTGTTAACTGTTTTCACATAGTTTTTGTAAATATTTCAATCTAAATGTTATCTAATTTTTTTAAACTGCTTAATGTCAGTTTTTATAACCAAATCACTTTTATAAGAATATATTTTATACTTTATGGAGGGAGCCTTTGAGGGGTAAAGACTTGAAAACAACCCTGAGAAACCCCCTATGAATACACACAGGTAAGAATCTTTTGCTAATCATTTAAAATATCAAATTAATTCAAAAATAAAAAAAAGGAAATGTCCACAGCATTCTTACAAAGACACTATAAGAAAAAAAAACATGATGAAGGGCAGAAGCATTTTTTACAGACCTATTATTAAGTGAATTTTGTCTTCCCCCAAATTTATATGTGTAAGTAAATTCCTAATCTCTACTACCTCACAATGTGACTGTATTTTGAGGTGTGGCATTTAAAGAAGTCATTAAGGTTAAATGGCATTACATGGGTGGGCTCTAATCCAATATGATTGGTGTCCTTATAGGAAGTGGGAGAGATAAATGATATGAGCAACATGGTAGATTAGGTTATCTTTTATTTTTCTCTCACACACAAAAAATAATTAGACATTACCCATGAACAAAAATAGTCCTAGAAGGGTTCAATAGTCAAATTTAAAACCTACAGCAACACAGTACAGCCAAAACCAATAACTACACAGAAAGGATTGCTTGGGAGATTGGCATATGTGAGACATCTGGATACAGCTAGGCACAAAGAAGGCAGGGGAATACCAGAATCAGTCATGAAGCAGGTACCACTTTGGTTTCCAGTGGCCTGCTCTGCAAAGGATCCTAGCAGCCTTTTCCACTAAGAACTTCAATAGTCCTTGAGTCAGCCACATACTCCCTATAGCTTTCACATCACATGTCCCCTTAGTGTTCATCCTTTTTTTCTTCAGGACACAGAGAACACTACTGGCTCTTGCCACTGAGATAGTTAACCAACAGCCATTGCTGTTTTTACCTCCTGGGGAGAGAGACACTGCTGTGCTCTGAACTCAATAAGAAGCCACTGTTGTGCTACCCAGGGCTAGGGCCACCACTTGCACCCAGAACCATGCATGCCACAGACTCTAGACACACAGACACTCTTTGCATACCCACATTCTAGGTCTCGGCTTTGTTGTAGGAGCATGAATGCCCCTGTTTCATACCCCAAAGTCGTTTCCACAACAAGCTAGCTTTCACCAGGGACCATGGAACCACTTTTACTCCACCCATGTCTGCACTTTAAACTCCAGCTCGACAGCCATTCCATAAACACTTCCTAGGGACACCAGCTGCATTTGCATTCTGGACTCTAGAGCAACAGTAAATTTTCACATGCCCATGCTTGGACCCCAGATCCTAGGGCAAATACCTGCACTCGTGACACTGGACCCACTACAACACTGCCTCAGATTCCTGAGGTCTGCATGAATTTACACTCCAGACCTCATTTTCTTGCTTTTCCAGAAGTTCCTGTGCCTTACACACCATTCCAGATGCTGCTGCAGGGAACCCGCATCACAGGCACCAATGTCCCTATTGCCCCAGACCCTGGAGCCACTGACCCTTTATGTGTACTCATACTCCAAATCCTGGCACCATGGCCACTTTGTGGGCACCAGACATCAGACAGTGATGCTACCACCACCACCACCACGAGAGGCCCACAAACTGAACCTGGCATTTTTTGGGATATCTGCAGGCATGAATTCCACTATAGGAGAAAAAGAGATTAGTAGGATCCCAGCAGCCTTTGTAACTAACAACCCGCCCAGCCATTGCAGACAACACTAGCCTTGGTGACTGAGAACGCTTCAATTTTCACTGATGCTAACTTCATCCAACAGAGCTGCATGGGATATGCTGTTGCATGCTCACCAAGCCAGAAACACTACACCTCACCTAGCCGATGCCTTTATACCCACCCATAGTTGAAGTTCTTTTCTCACCAAAATCAGCATGTCATTAGAGATATGCAAATCAAAACCACATTGAGATATGATCTCATGTCAATTAGAATGGCAATCATTAAAAAATCTGGAGACAACAGACCCTGGAGAGGATGTGGAGAAATAGGGACACTTTTACACTGTAGGTGGGAGTGTAAATTAGTTCAACCATTGTGGAATGTGGTGTGGCGATTCCTCAAGGATCTAGAAATAGAAATTCCATTTGACCCAGCCATTTCATTACTGGGTACATACCCAAAGGATTATCATTCTATTATAAAAACGCATGCATACATATGTTCATTTCAGCACTGTTTACAATAGCAAAGACTTGGAACCAGTCCACATGTCCTTCAAGGATAAACTGGATAAAGAAAATGTGGCACATATACACCATGGAATACTATGCAGCCATAAAAAAGGATGAGTTCATGTCCTTTGCAGTGACATGGATGAATCTGGAAACCATCATTCTTAGCAGACTGAAACAAGAACAGGAAACCAAACACTGCATGTTCTCACTTAGAAGAGGGTGTTAAACAATGAGAATACATGGACATAGGGAGGGGAGCATCACACACTAGGGTCTATTGAGAGTGGAGGGTTAGGGAAGCAACAGCAGGGGGTGGGGAGATGGGAGGGATAACATTAGGAGAATACCTAATATAGGTGATGGGGGATGGAGGCAGCAAACTACTATAGCATGTGTATACCTGTAAGATCTGCCCATATACCCCAGAATTTAAAGTAAAATAAAAATAAATTGAAAAATCTTGATAAATTGGAGTTTATAAAAATAGGAACTACTTTTCAAAAGACACTGATAAGAGAATGAAAATTCAAGCCACAGACGGAGAAATATTTGTGAATCTTATTTGATGAAGGGTTTGTATCTAGTATGCATAAAGACTTTTCAAAACTCAGTGTTAAGCTCACAAAAACATGCTCAACATCATTAGACACTTGGGAAATGCAAATTAAGACAATACTGAAATAAACTATATATTTGTTTCATGGCTACAACTGAAAAATACCTGCCAAGTGCCAGCCAGAATGTGGAACAACTAGGACTCTTGTACATTGGGTGAATGGTACAGCCACTTTGGAAATCACTTGGCAGTTTCTTACAGAGTTACAAATATGGAGTCGGAAATAGAGGATGGGTTGATTACAAAGGGGCAAAACTTCCTGGTGGGTATGGGAGGAGATTTTAGAATGGTGGAATTGTTCTGTATCTTGATTATTGTGGTGGTTACACAATGGTATTCATTGGTCAAAACTCACAGAACTGTACAATAAAAAGGGATATTAAAAATGCAGAAAATAATACATATAGCATAAAATATGTATCAATCAACTGAATATTATTAGTAAGGCCCCCAGTCAACAGTAGACTATTAGTGTTTAGGTTTTGGGGGCATCAAAAGCTATGTACAGATTTGTAACTCCATGGGGTGTTGGTACCCCTGAGTCCCACATTGTTCAGGGTCATCTGTATATTCAAAGTTCTGAAAGAAAAATATGTCTAAGAATACTTTGCCTGGAAAGCTGTATTTCAAAAATTAAAGGAAAATAAAAGATTTACCAGACACACAAAACCTGATGTAATTAATCACTCCTAGATTGCCTTAAAAGAAATGCTTAAGAGTTTTTCAAGATGAAAGGATGCTAATTAGTAACATGAAAATGTGAAATTATAAAACTCACTGAAAAAATATACACATAATCAAATTCAGAATATTCTAAATTATAAGGTAGAGTGTGAATCACTTATAACTCTAATGCACAAAAAGACAAAAATATTAAAGATAATTATAGCTATAATACTTTGTGTATACACAATGTTAAAAGATGTAAATTGTGACATCAAAAACATAAAATGGGGGGATATAAAAGTGTAGAACCTTTTTTTTTGAGACGGAATCTTGCTCTGTCACCAGGCTGGAGTGCAGTGGCATGATCTTGGCTCCCTGCAATCTTTGCCTCCTAGGTTCAAGTGATTCTTGTGCCTCAGCTTCCCAAGTAGCTGGGATTACAGATGTGCCACCACACCCAGCTAATTTTTGTATTTTTAGTAGAGATGGGGTTTCACCATGTTGGCCAGGATGGCCTCCATTTTCTGACCTCATGATCCATCCACCTCAGCCTCCCAAAGTGCTGGGATTAGAGGCATGAGCCACCATGCCCGGCCAAAAGTGTAGAATTTTTAATGCAAAGTTAAACTGTTATGATACCAAAGTAGACTTCTATAATTATAATAGGATTTATATAAGTAAAAACCTACAGTAGACACACAAAAGAAACAGAAAGGAATCAAATTATACAGCTGGAGAAAATAAGAAAATCACAAAGGAACACAACAAGAAAGTAATAAATGAGCAAAGGATCTGCAAAACAACCAGAAAACAAAAAACAAAATAGCAGGAGTAAGTCCTTACGTATCAATTACATTGAATGTAAATGAATTATAATCTTCAATTAAATGATAGAAGACTGAATGGATAAAAACAAATCCCGACTATATGCTGCCTACAACAGACTTATTTCAGCTTTAGGGATGCACATTGATGGACAGTTATGAGAGAGAATCCATGCAAATGGTAATAAACGAGAGTGAGAAAAGCTCTACTTCGATCAGATAAAATGGAAAAACAAAAGCTTAAAAAAGAGACAGGTTATTCATATAATAAGTGATCAGTTCATAAAGAGGATATAACAATTGTACATATATGTGTACTCAGTCTTGGAGCACCTATATATATAAAGCAAATATTAACTGAACTGAAGGAAGAAACAGACTACAATACAATAATGATAGGAGTGTATAAGACCGTGTTTTCAAAAATAGATAGATCATCCACAGAGAAAACTAATAGGGACAGAGAGGAATTGACAACACTCTAGACAAAGTGACCTAACAGACATGTACAGAACATTCCATCCAAAGCAGCAGAATGCACATTTTTTCTCACATGCACACAAAACATTCTCCAGGATGGATTATATGTTGGGCTACAAAACAAGTCTTAACCACTTTAAGAAGATTGAAATCATATCAAGCATATCTGTTGACCTCAATGATATGAAATCAGAAATCAGTAATAGGAAGAGAACTGGAAAATTTATAAATATATGGAAACTGAACAATATGCTCTTGAATATTCATTGGGTCAAGAAATAACTCAGAAGGAAAATCAAAATATTTTGAGGCAAAAATGAAAATGGAAAAATCTCAAAACTCATGGGATACAACAAAAGCAGTTGAAGGATGTGCCATTGATGGAGTAATGGTGGGTCACACACAAATGTGCACCACAAACTATTTTAAACATAAAAAAATTTAAGGATTTTTGTTCACATGAGACTTTCTTAAGGAAATACAAGTGGTCACATGCTAGCCAATTCAAATATGAAAATGATTGTATGGTTTGTACCTCAGAAGATTTATAAGGAATAAATATTTTGGTGAATGAACATAAATCTTTTTTTTCTCATTTGTCTTTGTAGTTAGAGTTGTGTGACTCTATGATCTTAGAAAAATCACATCATTTTTTGTTTTGTTTACTTTGTAAAATTTTTCTGATTAAATGATAAAATAGTTTTTCAAGAGTTCTAATATTTTTAGTATTGCCAAATATTAGTTACGCTTGGAAAATTTCTGTGAATGCTGTTTTTTTTTCAGAAGGTATGGGATACTCGATGCTTTTTGCATTATTCTGGAACAATTTCCATTCCTCTTAAGTCTATTTTGTCTAATTTTCCACCAAAGAAGGAATCATTTAATTTGCAATTTTTACTTGATGAAATTATTCATGCATTAATTTTGCTTTTATTGTCATTATTTTATCTCAGTCTTTTTAAGTGACTGCTTTTTTTAACTTACAGACCTGAAAGCTTTGTACATGATTTTCATATTTATTGCTTATTAATAAAAGCTTTAAGGCTATGAGTGTACCCCTGAGTAAACCTTTATAACTCAATGTTTTCACCACAGGCTTTCTTCTTTATATGATTCTAATTAATCTCTGAAAATGCATCAAATAGCAAATTTTCAAATAGTGGCAGCTGACATTTCATAATTTAATTGAGAGGACTATCAGTGTGCTCCCAAGCCATTCAAAAACCCCAACCAGCTTCCTTAAATAGCTGTTTATCTATTATATATAGATATTCCCTTAAATATATATATATTATCTATACTATATATAGATATTTCCTAAAATATTTATATAATAACCCACCACTAATTTCTTCTTAAGTCATTTAATAGACGAAGTAACTACCTGTTTATCCAGTAACAAACTTATTAATGGATATGTTTTTTAGCAGTATTCAACAACAATGTACAACAAATTATATTTGCCTTCTTAAGGCAATGGATAAGTACTAAAGTGTAAGTGAACAATGAAATATATCACAAACATGTTGAATATATTATATAAATTGTGCCAGGGTTGCACATTCTCTCAGGCATTTGGCAGAGAGAAACACTGGGACTCTTGTAGGACTCAACCCACAGTCTGAAGACAGGGAAAATGATGGGAGTAATGCAGAATGCTTTTAAAAAACAAAAGCATGAGAAATGATCCTTTCTGGAGAATAGCTGATGTAGAAGTGCAGCACTAGATGTATCTTCTCATCCAGGCTCCCAAGAACTCTATACATTTTCACAGTGAATGAATGATTTTTGTGGTGTTCTATTCAGAAATGAAATTTTGACTTTAAATATTTCTAAGTTGTTATAGAGAATATTCAAATCTTGAAGGATACTGAAAGCAAGAAATACCTTATTTCCTTACACTTTAAACATTTCATTACTGATTTTTTAATTTTTCTGTGAATATTTGTTTTTAACATTATTTTATTGAAATCTAATATACATCTAGTACATTGCACAAATCTGTAGGATGCACCGTGATACATATTATAGAATATATATAAACATACAGAATACATAATATATATACACAGACATATATAAATGAAATCAACATACACATCAAGGTTGTGTATATATTTCTATAGATCTATTTAAGCATCCATCTCAAATGGGAAGAAACTAATCCTTCAGCCTTTTTGTTTTTGAATCTCAATTTTCTATATTATATTCAAAAAGAAAAACAGAGAAAAAGCAAAGTAAGAAACAATCAAAGAATTACTTCAAAAAGTGTTCCGTGCTTGAAAAACTTGAGTTTCTAGTTTGAAAGAGATTATCTGGTGCTTAGGACAATGGATAAAAATCGATGTATGCCACAGTAAATTGTTTTGAGTCTTCAGAATCCAGAAAAAAAAAAAAAAAAGAAAATGCTAAAAGCTTCCAGAAAACAGAAAGATTCAGAAGCAGAATTGCATCCTCCCTCTTATCAGCAACTCTGAAAGATGGAATAGAACGGAACAATTTCTTACAAATTCTAAGGGAGAATTATTTACAGCCTAGGACCCCTAGACCCAACCAATTTGTCAAGTAAGTGTAAGGATGAACCAAAGACACTGTTAACTTATATATATCTTTTCTTATCATGTTACTGGAGAAAAAAAATTACCAAAATAAGGAGTAAATTAAGGAAGAGGTTAAGATGACAGTCAAGAAATGGAGGCTTTGTCACATAAGGCATGTAAATTGAATCCCCAAAATAGTGAAGGGAGCTCCCTAGATAATAACTGAGCAAGCCTAGTGAAAAAATTTGTTCAGATTTGAGCACGTTGGCAGGCTTTGGGAGAGATGTTTCCAAGAATATTAAACTCAGAAAGAATCCCTAGTGCATCTGAATGTATTCAGAAGTAATTTAAAACGTCGTGGGTGGAGTAGTTTTTAGCTAAGTTAATTGTAAGTACATAGAACAGAAGAAAATGAAAACATCCAAAGATGATTAACTTCAGAGAAACAAATTTTCTTAAGAAAATAAGTAAAGCAGATTCATTTTTTAAAATCTCAATTCTCCACATTATTCTTTAGATTCAACAAAACAAAACTGGTTCAGTTGTCAACACGATTTTACATAGTTATAATGTAAATATTGATATCCACAAAATGAAAAATTTAACAGTTGGTATTATGTAAATGAGAAGAGCAGCACGTCTGCCCGGGGGCTCTTGGCTAGCAAGAGGGTCCCAACCTGGATAGGGGCGTGCGTGAAAGATAAAAGATGACAGACAGATGGGGTCTTGAGGGTTGAGAAGCTATGCTTCACCAACAACTTTATTGCGCTCAGGGTCTGGTTATATACGTTACAAGTAGAGTTGCTTACATAAAACACAAAAGTTATTTCCATGAGATAAAGGGGAACACAAAGTTTTACCATAAAATTATAAGTTTTCTTACATCAGATAAGCATAATGGAATACTTAAGTCACAAGGTAAGTAAGTTATGCCCAGTTGTAAATACTTAACAATTGTAAATACTTAAGTTATTATTTTACAACTATTGTAGCAAGGATCCAAAAATGAACACAATGAAGCAATAAACCATAAGGAACCAAAAGTGGACCCATAATGTAATGTCTGTTAATTATTTTGAATAGCATAGTCCCTCTCTCGGTTCCTGCTTTCCCTCAGCTCAACTTGCCCCAACTGGGGATCTGTGTCCGGGATGAAGCTCACCATATGGCGAGGCCCATTTTCTAGGGGCCTCACATGGGAGGGTTCCCCACAGTTCCCTCTTTTTTTGTTTTTAAATGCAACTCAAAAAGCTTGAGCCACAATTGTTGAAGGGAGGAGAACACAAGGCGAAAGAATACCGGGAGAAGGACTATAAGAAGGAGTAAAGCGACTCCAATACCAATTAAAGAGGAAAAAGATGGGAGATGAACTCCATATACCCAGGAAGACAAGGTGTCCACAATATCCTTAGCCACATATGTATCTTGAGGCAAATCCTTACGAGAAAAGTCAATAGCATGAATTTCTTGCTGTAATTCCATAACATCCAAGGATAGATTATTATGCGACCATATACCTTGCAGACGGGCCTTAACAAGAGGCCACTGCCAGGCAGTGTCATTATAAGGAGGTCACACATATGTATTTATAGTCTACATGGCAATGAAGAGCCATGTGATTTTGCATGTTATAAATCTTATCCCCTAAAATGTTAACAGTCTCCTCTAAGGCATTTAATTTAGCTTCAATTTTTTTTTATCAATATCCATTTGAGTTCCCATAGAAACTGAGATGTTTTTAGCGAGATGATTAACATAAGCCGCAGATTGAACACTGTGTGCAAGACTAACAGCAGCTGTAGCCACCGTCACAACAACAGTCACAATGGCCAAAATGCTGGCAATTAAAACTCCTATGAAACATTTAGGTCAGACCATCAGATCCCTGACTTGGTGTGAAATTTGAAGTCCCCTCTCATCATACTAGTCACCAGAAATATTAACAGGGAGCATCACATATAGTGGTTGATGGACATGAATAGTGGGAGTAGGAAACATAGAGGAATCAAGACAATTGGTAAGAGTACAATTTTCACAAGAGACAATATAATGCCCCCCTTTTTCTGAGATAGTCACATTACCAAAGATAATAGCGTATGGAGATGTGACACAAGCTTGCCCAAAGATATGTTTTTTAGAAGGGTAAGAGAAGCTTCTAGAACTGGCCCTTAGAAAACTGAGAGTCAGTGCGACAAACAGTTTCCAAAGAGAAGTATATGCTTTGCCCTTAGCAGTAGTAAAAATAGGGGTGCTCCACCCCCAGGCATTTCATTGCGTGTAATATCAGTTGCCAAAGGGAGAGGGATAGACCAGTCATATAAAGTAAACCCAGGGAATAAGGAAGCACTTGCTTTTGCTTGGGATAACAAAATTTCCAAGGCGGTGATGGGTCAAGAGAGGAATTACTAGGTCAGCACCGTCGTCTTTCCATTAAGGGAAACTCTGGGGAGGATATGTTAATTGATTCTCTAATTCCTAAATAAGACAATCTTCAATCTCGACCAAAATAAGTTTCACCAGGAAGCAATTTATTAGGTCCAGCAAAAGTATGCAAACGCTTCATGCCAAGGTCAAAGCAGAAAGGACCAGGTGAAAATGATAAGGACGGTGATTGCATAGACATAACATTATCATAAGAATAATCATCCCATATCTTGGAAGCATAAAAACACATGGGAGGCACTGCAGCTTTTGCGGAATAAGTATAATTAGCTATTTGTGGAGTAATATGAGTAGAAGAGGGAAACCCAAGTACAGAAGTATCATTAAACTGGGAAGGTTTGGTCATCCCAGGTCACAGGCCTAAGCACTGGAGGATCAGGAACATATGCCCACAACTTCTGAGAAGAAGTCAAGTATGAATGACCTCCAGGAATTTGACAAGACAAAATAGCCATCATAGCAATAAACATAACTTTAGGTGTATGAGGAGTGTTCTGAACATCCACTAAATGAGCAGCTTCCGCACTAAGCTTCTTCATCTGGCTCCAAGTTGTCCGTTACTCCAGCGGAAGGAGATTGTCCGTTTGTTCCTCAGGCGGTGACGCGATGGGGGGTTCCTCAGGTGCAGACAGCAAAAGCGAGCTATCAGGGCGTTTTGCCCGCCCATTGGTGGAAAATCCATGCTTTACCAGGTGTTCAGGAACCCACACCGGGGCGTCAGCCGATCTAGGAAAAACACAGACATGTCCTCATTCCCATATGAGGACTGGATCGGGTCCATTCCAAGTATTAGTTAACACATCTTTCCATAGCACCTCCGGGTGGATGGAGGCTTTTGGGTGCCAAAAGTGGTTGGCAGCTGAGCGTCCTTCAGAATCAAAAGTTAAAAAATTGATGACATATAAAGCATTTTGAAGCCAATTATGGGGTGTTTTATGTAAGTCCCCACCAGAGTCTTCCTTTTTCAACTTATGGAGCATAAGTTTTAGTGTAGCACAGGCATTTTCAACAATACCTTGGCCCTGTGGATTATAGGGAATACCTGTACGATATTGAATCTGAAATTGAGAACAAAAGGTTGAAAAACTCTTACTAATGTAAGCCGGGCCATTTTCTGTTTGGAGGATTTTAGGAGCACCTAAAATGGAGAAAACATTAAGACAGTGAGCAGCTACATCCTTTGTACCCTCGCCAGTATGAGCAGAAGCTACAAGAAAATGGGAAAAGGTGTCAATGGTGATATGAATATATTGGAGCTTCCCACAAGGAGGGAAAGTATGTAACATCCATTTGATAAATATATCCACTCCATAAACCACGAGGGTTAACCCCAAACCAACGGGGAAGGCAAATGAGGAAGGCAAGCAGTGCATTGTTTCACAATTTGGTGAACCTGTTCTTTAGTAATTTTAAATTGTAAATGAAGACTGCGGGCATTCTGATGATGTAAAGCATGCGACGCCACAGCCTGTGGAAGGGAATTTAAAACAGGAAAAGCAAACTGAGTCAATTGGTCAGCATGATGATTTCCTTCAGCAAGAGGTCCAGGTAACATAGAATGAGCTCTAATATGTCCAATAAAAAAGGGGTGCAATCTTTGCCTGATAGTTTGCTGTAAGGGACACAAAAGGCGGATGATCAGAGAGAAATCAGAATATGTTAATGGAGAGGTTTCTAAATCTTGAACCAGACGGACAACATACTGGCTGTCAGAGTAGATGTTTAAAGGAACGTCCCACTTAGAGAGAACATGTTGAACAGCTACAAGTTCCACATGCTGGGCCCAAGATTCTGTTGTTTTAAAAGAAAACAGTTTAGCCTTAACAGTGCCTGCAGCTATACCGGAGGAAGAGCCGTCAGTGAAAGCTAAATAGGCATGTAACAAAGGAGCTCTTACACAAGTCTGAGGAAAAACAAGAGAGCATTGGGAATAAAAATGAAGAACTTTATCAGGTGGGAAATGACATTTAACATTACCAGAGTAAGCGGCGAAAGCAACTTGCCAGTTATCTGAAAATTGCCAAAGCCAGGTTTGTTGAGGGGTATTATAAGGGATAATAATTTCAGGTGGTTCAGTTCCAAATAAAGCTGGGGCCCGAATACGACCCTTGGCCACCAGAGTGACAACTAAGTCATAATATGGAGAAATTACTTTACCACAGCTTGCGGGAAGATGAAGCCACTCTAATATAACTTGTTGCCAGAAAACACCTGTGGGAGGTTAAGAGGTACGGAGAATACAGACGCCAAGGAATATTAAGTTGAATTCTAGTTAATTTTTGATCTAAAATAACTTGATGTACTAGTTTCAATGTCTGCTTTGCAGAGTCAATCAATTTTCTGGGAGACGATGGATTAGGAGAACCTTTTAAAATATCAAATAAAGGCTTTAATTGTCCAGTAGTAAGTTTCAAACTGGGTCTAATCCAATTAATAACACTTAGAAATTTTTGAAAATCATTTAAGGAGGTTAAACTTGCAGTAGACAATTTAGGAGTTACAAATGAAACTCGTTGAGACTCAATACGGTCCAAATAATGATAAGGAGCAACAGTTTGAACGTTATCTGGGGCTAAAATCAGGTTAGCTTGCTTCAAATGGTGCTTAAGGGAATCAAAAGCAGCAAACAACAAAAAGTCAGTAGCAGCAGCTAACAGTAAATCATCCATATAATGTAAAAGGAGAACATCAGGAAATTGATGCCGAACAGGAAAAATTGCCTTAGCAACAAAAGCTTGACAGAAGGTGGGACTATTGGCCATTCCTTGGGGCAGGACTATTCATTCATACCTGTCATAAGGCTGGCCAAAATTGGTAGATGGAATGCTAAAAGCAAAACATTTACAATCTTGTGGTGCCAAGGGAATGGTAAAGAAACAATCCTTTAAGTCATAATTAACATTTTCTAATTTTGTGGAACAGCCACAGGGGAAGGCAGTCCAGGTTGTAATGAACCCATAATTTCCATGGTTTCATTTACTTTTCTCAAATCTTGTAACAATCTCCACTTACCAGATTTCTTTTTTATAACAAAAATAGGAGAATTCCAAGGGATGCAGGTAGATCTGATATGGCCCGCTTCAAGTTGTTCCCGAACCAACTTTTGGGCAGCTACAATTTTATCACCAGATAAGGGCCATTGTTCTACCCATACCGGAGAATCAGACTTCTAAGTGATAGCTTTGGCATGAGCATCGGGATTTGCAATGGCCCCTAGGCAAATACCTCAGCCCAGAGTGATCAGTTTTTTATGGAAGTTGCAAAGGCTCTGTTATACCTTGCCAATGTTTGCCCAAGCCCTTATTGGGCTGCTATCCTTGTTTAGTCATATGATAAGCTACATCTCCAGTTACCAAATGCACCCCCATAGCTTCCAGGAGATCCCTTCCCCACAAATTAAGAGGGATTTCTGAAATAATATAAGGGTGAAAATAGCCTTAATGACCTTCATTATCTGACCAAAATAAAAGATTGGCTGCTTGTTCAGGATTATTACTCATACCAATGCCTTGGAGGGAGGTAATAGTCGGAGTTGTCAACTAAGTAGAAGGCCAATGTTTTGCAGAAATAATAGACACATCAGCACCTGTATCCAATAACCCACGAAAGAATTTTCCATTAATATTAATGGTTAATTCAGGTCTTGTAGCAGAAATAGATTGCACCCAATAAGCGTGAGAAGAAGAACCAAATGCTTTATGTTTTCTCTGGGACTGAGTTAAAGGAATACCTATATGAGTAGTAACAGGAATAAGCAAAAGCTGAGCAAAAGGCTGATCAGGGGTTAAGGTGTAAATACCTTGTGGTGCCCAAGTCACAACTCGAATTTCTCCAGTGTAGTCAGCATCAATAACTCCTGGAACAACTTGCAAGCCTTTTAAAGACCAGCTGCTTTGTCCCAAAAGTAACCCTACATGATCTGCTGGCAGTGGTCCAAAAACACCAGTAGGAATGGCTTGCGGGCCCATATCCAAAGTTAATACTTGTCTGGAGGAGGGACAGAGGTCAAGTCCTGCACTGTGTGGGGTTGCTCTGTAAAGTTGTGAAATGGATTTATTACCACTGGGGGAGAGACTGCCTGAATCACAGTTGCCCTGAATTTCTGGGGGGGGGGTGTCGAGACAGCCCCCCTTGGGAGTTTCCTGATTTGGGAAGCAAAGGATTTCCTTGTGCATCACGCTTAGAGCGACATTCAGCAGCCCAAGGATTACCTCAATGACAAAGAGGACATTCCCCAGGCTGCTGTGACTTGATGTTATGCAGGCTGGGTTGAGGAACAGGCAAGGCAGGTATAACAGCTTGGCAGAATTTTGCCACATGGCCAAGGCCCCCACAGTGATAACACTTCACAGCTGACTTGTCCCCTTTATTGCCAAATTTTTGTTTTATAAAAGCGGCTACTGTCATGCCAGCCTGCGCGGCAGCCATGGGAAGCCCTTGTTGATATGCAGGGCCTATATCAGCCCAAAGGCGAATGTAGTCAACCAAGGTGCCCTTTTTACTCCAGGGCCTAATAGCAGCCTGACAAGCAGAATTAGCATTTTCATAAGCTAATTGTTTAATCAGCATTGTTTTAGCCTCAGCATTCTGTACTTGTCTCACGACTGCTTGAAGCAGCCAAGCTACAAAATCTTGATAAGATTCATCAGGACCTTGTCTTATTTTTGCCAATTCCTTCGTTTTAACTCCTGTAGAAGGCAATTGTTTCCAGGTCCTTGCAGCGAGCATATTAATCTGGGCATATGCTTCTGATGGCAAGGTAGCCTGAGCTGCCAAAGGTTCGTAATATTCTTTTCCTACAAGCATATCAGCAGTTATAGGTACCTTGTCACCGTGATTTCTTTCAGCCTGCTCATAGGCAGCATCCTCATAATTAGCTCTCTAAAGTAAATAATCACCACCACAGAAACATGCTTTAGTCAAACATCCCCAATCACAAGGGGGGAGAGCAGAGATAGTCAAATTTTCTATAAGAGAAATAAAATATGGAGCGGTAGGTCCATATTGTACAACTGCCTCTTTTATTTCTTTTAGTGTCTTACGAGGAATAGGATCATAATTTCTAACCGATTGCCTTGATTATCCACCACCTCAATAACAGGATAAAGAGCAGGAAATATATTGTCATACTCAGTAAAACCTCTATGTAAAGACATTAAAGCATGAGTCAACAGTGTTATCGGAGCGGCAGTGGTAGACCATAAGGCCATCAGCAAAGCACCAGAAGGTGTGGCTGCTTGCTGAACTACAGGATATAACTTCTGCTGGTTAGTAAATGCTCCCGAACAAAGTGAAAGCAAATCCTGAAACTGACGAGCAAGATCTGGAGGCAAAGTAAAAGTTACTGGCCCAGGGTCCCACTGAGGTGCAGTCCCCGGAGTAGACATTATGGGATCCGGTTGAGTCACAATAACTTCAGTCAATGGAACATCAAGCAAATTAGGATCATACTCACTATGATGACTGCAAGACCCTTGTTCAACAAGCTCCTCGCGATCCGGAGAGACAGGGAGAAGGTCAGCACCTGCAATGCTCGGTGGCATTGGGAAATGAGGATCTGTCTGTTTGGTTAGTGAAGTGGAGGAAGAATAGGGTGGTGTGGAAGGGTGAGAAGGGCAAACACATTTGTGGAACTTACCCCAGACAGTTAACAACACAGAAGCTTGTGGCACGTCCTTATTACAGAAGCAAAAGTGGTCAATTTTTTCCCCTATAACAGCCCATGTAGATACATCCAGCACACCTCCTTCACGAACCCAAGGGCAAAATTTACGAATAATCTGCAAAAATTCCTCTACTTGTTTTAGTTTAATATCATGACCCTGAGACTTTATCATAGAATGCAACAATTATACAAACAACTTATGTTCCTTTGACTCTATATACTTCATGTTTTACTCCAGATGATATTTGTTGAATCTTCTGCAAATGATTTTTCAAGGATTATATGTACAAAAGTGGGGAGAAAAGTGGAAAAGTGATTATATGGATACTTTTATATCCATATATCCTTGATTATATGGAAAATCAAGGATAGAAAGTAAAAATGGATAGAAAATCAAACTCTTTAACTTCACTTACCACCACGGCCTCTCACTCTTTATGGGTCACCGGTGTCCCCAATGTTGAAGTCCCTTCTTTGGACGCCACCTGAGAAGGGCAGCATGTCTGCTGGGGGCTCTTGGCCAGCAAGAGGGTTTCAACCTGGATGGGGGGGGTGCGCAGAAGATAAAAGATGACAGACAGATGGGGTCTGGAGGGTTGAGAAGCTATGCTTCACCAACAACTTTATTGCGCTCAGTGTCTGGTTATATACATTACAAGTAGAGTTGCTTACATAAAACACAAATGTTATTTCCATTGGATAAAGGGGAACACAACATTTTACCATAAAATCATGTCTCCTTACATCAGATAAGCATAATGGAATACTTAAGTCACAAGGTAAGTAAGTTACGCCCAGTTGTAAATACTTAACAATTGTAAATACTTAAGTCGCAAGGTAATTTACGCCCAGTTTTAAGTACTTAACAATTGTAAATACTTAAGTCACGAGGTAAGTAAGTTACGCCCAGTTGTAAATACTTAACAATTGTAAATACTTAAGTCACAAGGTAAGTAAGTTATGCTCAGTTGTAAATACTTAACAATTGTAAATACTTAAGTCACAAGGTAAGTTACGCCCAGTTGTAAATACTTAACAATTGTAAATACTTATTATTTTACAACTATTATAGCAAGGATCCAAAAATGAACACAATGAAGCAATAAACATAAGGAACCGAAAGTGGACACAATGCCTCCCATGTCCTCATATCCATAAAGTAATGTCTGTTAATTATTTTGAATAGCATAGTCCCTCTCTTGGTTCCTGCTTTCCCTCAGCTCAACTTCCCCCAACCGGGGATCTGTGTCCCAGCTCAAGCTCACCATATGGCGAGGCTCATTTCCTAGGGGCCTCACACGGGAGTGTTCCCCACAGTGTATGTGTCTATCAGTCAATAGGCATATGGGTTATTTTGCTAAAAAAATTTTTATTTGAGACCAGCTTGGCCAATGTGCTGAAACCCCTTCTCTACTAAAAATACAAAAATTAGCTGGGCAGGGTGGTAGGCACCTGTCCCAGCTACTCAGGAGGCTGAGGCAGGAGAATCACTTGAACCCAGGAGATGGAGGTTGCAGTAAGCTGAGATCACACCACTGCACTCCAGCCTGGGCAGTAAGAGTGAGACTCTGTCTCAAAATAGATATATATATATTTAATAACTGTGTAATATTCTCCTATTTTCCTCCTCCTCTCCCTCCCCCTTCTCATTCTCCTCCCACTCCTCCCCCTCCTCCCTCTCCCCTTCCTCTCCCCTTCCTCTTCCTCCTCCCCCTCCTCCCCCTACCCTTCTCCTCCTCCTCCTCCCCCTTTTTCTTTCTTTTCTTCCTCTTCATCCTCTTTTTTTTTTCTTCTTCTTTATATAGATACAGGGTCTTCTTATGTTGGCCAGGCTGGTCTTGAAATTCTGGGCTCAAGGGATTCTCCCACCTTGGCATCCCAAAGTGCTAGGATTACAGGTGTGATCCACTGTGCCTCACCACTTCTATTTTTTATCATTATAAGTAATGCTGTAATTAATATCATATATATAGATGTATGTATATATGTATGTATGTGTATATGTGTGTGTGTGTGTGTGTATTTTGATTATATTTCCAAAGGACAAATTCTAGAATTAGGAACACTAGTTCAAACAATATAAATGTTTTCAAGGCTCTTGATATGTATTGCTCGATGACTCTGCAGACTGTACTAATTGATACCCCCTTTTCCCAGTCATGTATCTATTTTTATCTACTTAAAAAAACTTTGTAAACTTGTATGTCTATACTTCCCTATTATTTTGTAAATAATAAAAGGTGAACTTTCTTATTTTGCCTCTGCTACAAGGATTCAGTTTCTGTCTAACATACATACCCTGTGAAGATGTCTGGTATGATGTCTGGATACTCTTTCTTGTAGATGTGTCTATACATGATTCAGGCATGGCTGATTATGTTTTGAGCAGCATTATGGAAACTTTTATTTTTAGATTTGGTGGTCAGGAAGTCCTCTTTAAGGGGCGGACATTTGAGCTAAGGCATGAATAAAGTAAGGGATCCATTCATGAAAGTATCTGAGAGAAGAGAGCTGAAGGCAGAGGGAAGATGGCCATGGATGTCATGGGTCCATGGTGGCAACATTTGGGCAGGGAGTTTGTAAAAATGTCAGAGAGGTTGGGATGGTGGTTCATGCCTCTAGTCCCAGCACTTTGAGAGGCCAAGGCAAGAGAATTGCTTCAGCCTAGGAGTTCGAGACCAGCCTGGGCAACACAGTGAAATCCCATGTCTATGAAAAATTAAAAAATTAGCTGTGCATACTAGCTCAAGCCTGTAGTTCCAGATGCTCAGTAGGACAAGATGGGAGGATCGCTTGAACCTGGAATGTCAAAGCTGCAATGAGTTGTGATCATACCACTGCACTCCAGCCTGGGTGACAGAGCAAGGCCCCATCTTTAAAAAAAATTAAAATAAATTTTTAAAAGATTGCGATAGGATATGCACCTTCTCCCAAGAGTGGATGCAAAAGCATTCAACAGTTGCCAACTCAGGAAAGGGAAAGGTTGACTGGAGGGAAGCATCCAGTTTTAAAATGTCCTGTGGTGTCAAGTGGTCCTACTTGAAGTCAGGAGATTCCAGCCACCAGTAGACTGGGGACCTATTCCAGGGTGGGTCTTGAAAGCAGTGAGGCTGATTTCCAAGTGTCAGGGCCAAACATCAATCCCTTGATTCAGAATCCTGTCCCTGTTCTAGCTTCTTGAGCCATTGTTCTGGGGCTTGTTGAATTTGAAATGCTTTGACTTGTAACTACTTGGGACTTGGGGCCCCCTTACTCAAAAGGGAAAAGAAGAAACTCCATCAATCAGAGCAGATTTAAAAAAGAGAGAAGGTGGGCTGGATGTAGTGGCACACACCTGTAATCCCAGCACTTTGGGAGGCCGAGGTGGGCAGGTCATGAGGTCAATAGGTTGAGACGATCGTGGCCAAAATGGAGGGACATCATCTCTACTAAAGATATAAAAATTAGCTGCCATGGTGATGCATGCCTCTAGTTCCAGCCACTCGGGAGGCCGAGGCAGGAGAGTCGCTTGAACCTGGGAAGCAGAGGTTTCAGTGAGCTAATTCCATTGCACTCCAGCCTGGTGACAGAGTGAGACTCTGTCTCAAAAAAAAAAAGAGAGAAGATATAAAATGGATTGTCTCTCACTTTAAAGAACTAGCAAAATATGAGGGCTCTCGCCTATAATCCCAGCACTTTGGGAGGCTGAGGCAGGCAGATCACCTGAGGTTGGGAGTTTGAAACCAACCTGACCAACATGGAGAAACCCTATCTCTACTAAAAGTACAAAATTAGCTGGTCGTGGTGGTACATGTCTGTAATCCCAGCTACGGGAGGGTGAGGTAGGAGAATCACTTAAACCTGGGTGGCGGAGGTTGCAGTGAGCTGAGATTGCACCATTGCACTCCAGCCTGGGCAACAAAAGTGAAGCTTCATCTCAAAAAAAAAAAAAAAAAACGAATTGGCAAAAATCAAAATTTGCTGAACAGAGCAATTATCGTTGCAGAATTCACCTGACTTCCTTTAAATGGTGAATTCCTTGTTAGCGTTTCAAATAAAGTTTGGTATAGAAATAAATTACTTTCACATGTTTTTCTCAGGAGCTCCCATATTACGGAAAGAGAAGGAGAGGTTTGAAACTTTTCTTTGAAACTCTAAGTCTTGAACTAAATCGGACTATCAGCTAAATGAAAAAACTTTACGAATGTAAGAAAATGCAAAGAATTCACACTAATGTTTAATGACAAATGGTAAAAAACCAACTTGAATAGTTGTTGAATATCAAAAATACATTGCAGGTGAAAGAAGAAAGGAGAATGAAAAAGGAAAATTTAAAAGAGAAGGAGGAAGAGTACTTGGGAAGTTGGGTAGGAAATAGAGGTTGTTGAGAAAGTGGTTCACATGGCCTTGAGAAACAGATGTTATTGAATGAGCGAGTTTAAAGTCAAGGTGAGAGAGGATGTCCTACAGTTACTGCCCTCAAATAAATATTCCCATCCAGTTTACATATGGAGGAGTTGGGCGGGAGGGAGGTGGATGGGATTTTTTGTTGTGATTTTTCAAAAAAATTTTCATGGACCAAGTTAGGATTTCACCAGAAAAAACTGTGTTTTGTGTGATCACAGCTATCTCTAGATATTGACATAAAATAATTCAGGTGTGAATGCTGACAAACTAGCACATGTAATTACCACTACAAATGCAAACAATTAGAGACTGATGTCTCACCCACTATAAACATCTCACCATCTCTAGATTCCAAATAACCAGGAGACAGCAACATGAAAATCTTGGTAATAAAGGAGGAGCCATGATTAAGAGTCAGCCTTTGAAAGAAAGGAGAAAGATGGAGCCGAATTCTTGTCTTCATGAGCGACCTTTCTGCCAACCATTTGAGGGCTGCATCCATGGACTTAGGACACTGAAAGTACTCAAATAAGAGCAGAGAAAAATGAAAGGGCAAGAGGCCATTGACTTTCTCAGCCATTCCTTGGAGCTCACCTTTTTCAAAGCTCTCATCTTGCTTCCCTACCTTGGCTACATATTCAGTCCCTGGGGGAGCCACTTGAGTGGCTTTTACTGTTGTTCCTCCACTAATTCTCACCAGGCATTCATCCCCTTGACTGATTCTGGACCAGATCTCAATTTTTATTAATAGAATATTTATGCAAATATTCATGCAAAGGCAAAGGAGAAGGTTTTTGTTTTTTTGTTTTTCTGAGACGGAGTTTCGCTCTTGTTACCCAGGCTGGAGTGCAATGGTGCGATCTTGGCTCGGCGCAACCTCCGCCTCCTGGGTTCAGGCAATTCTCCTGCCTCAGCCTCCTGAGTAGCTGGGATTACAGACACGCGCCATCATGCTCAGCTAATTTTTTGTATTTTTAGTAGAGACGGGGTTTCACCATGTTGACCAGGATGGTCTCGATCTCTTGACCTCGCGATCCACCGGCCTCTGCCTCCCAAAGTTCTGGGATTACAGGCTTGAGCCATCTCACCCGGCCAATGCTTTTTAATTATTAAACAAACTAATTGAGAGGCCACAACACAACCATTTCTTTTATTGGGCTCTCACACTCTAGTTCACTATCCACCTACCCTAATCATCCCAGGACTAGATGATAAGGGATAGCTCTATGCACTAAAGCCTGCTGAAATTATTTAAACTAGTCAATCATAGGCCTTCTTGCCTTGCCTATTCCTTCTTAAGGAAAACGCAGTAAAGATTCATGACCATAGTTCTCCCTTCTTTCTCTGCCTCTTTACTGGCCCCAAGGCTCGCCCATGTGGGCCCCTGTGGCATGACATTCCCCTATTCTTGGGAACTGTGAGTAATAAAAGATCTTTACAAAGGCAATCTACTGATCTGTTGGCCTTACTGTACTTCAACTTTTCTATTAATGTACAATATTTTAAAACATAGGCAAGCACTCTAGAGGCACTCAAGTGAATCAAACTGAAGTCTTCTGCTAAATAAGTGATAACTGTATCTATAAACATTTAGAAAATTTTAATTTGATCGCCCGGTCTAGTGAATAATCCTCACCGAACAATCACCACTGAGCAAATATTCACTACATTTATAAGCATGTTAGTTTATAGTCATAATTATGGTTAAGATATAATATTAACAATATTAGTTCATATTAGTGTAGTACTGTCCCATTTACCAACACTTTAACATATATTTCAAAACTATTTATATTATTCACATTTTTATTGCTGAGGATACAGCCGTTTAGAGTAGTTAAATGACTTACCTAATCCTACGCAGCTTAAAAGGAACAAAAAAGGAAGTTTTTTGTTGTAAGGATGAAATGTAAAATTATCACAAAAAAATACTTTGACAAATTAAAAGGTATTTTCAAAACCCAAATTTCTTTGGCTAAATATGCATTTTATATTCACAGGTTTAAAACCTCAAAAAGGCTTTTGGACCCACTGGAAACTGAAAGAACTCTCCAAAACCACCATTCATGGTAGCAAAAAAGCACCTACTAAATCAGTAAAAAAGAGAATTGCAGGCAGTCGAGAAAATATATCAACCAGTAAGTAAAGTTTTTTTATACTGCAGAATGGAATAGGTAGCAAAATCAAGTATATTAAGTTATTTATTAGTCAGAATTTTCTAATTATTTATTTTTTGGTGAGGGTCTTAAAATAAAATTTGATTTATAGATCAATGTTATAGTGATACACACTTAATTCCTTTTTCCATTTGCCTGTTGTAAAATAATGATGTTTTTTACTTTTATCCTTTTTGTATTTATGTATACTACAGATATTGTTACTTCTACTTCTGTTACTAAGTGGTTAATCAAGTGTTTTCTGAATAGATATGTTTAAATTTTTTATTTTGTTCATTTAAATTATGTTTTTTTTAGAGTTTCAGTTTTGTGTTGTGTTTTTCAAGACTTAACTAAGATTATAAAAATTCCTGTATTTTTTTAAGTATTTTTAAATTTCTTTATTAATTTAACTCTTTATTTCATTATAAGCAGCAAAGTTGTATTCCAATGTGATGGGGTTTTTTTCCCCTTAAATGACTCATTTATGGAATAGTCCAGTTGTAGCCTACTTGAAATACCAATTCACTTAAATTTTAATATTCTTTTCTGTTCTGTTGAGCCATATGCCAAATTCCTGCACCAAGACCAAAGTCCTCAGTTACTCTACATTAATAAGCTTTGTAAGGCAAGTGTATTTCTCTCCTGTATATGCTATTTTTTTTTTTTTAGTACTAAACATAGGTCTAATGCTCAGGCCTCATGTCTGATCAGTTAAATCAGAATCTAGGCTTAGTACTTTTTAAAGTTCCTCAGTGCATCTGATGATTGCATGTGCATGTACAAACCACTAACACAGAGGGAAATAACTTTCTAAACTATATCTTGATAAAGGCTAAAAAGGAGGAATTAACCTACCCAACCTACTCTTTGGGAAGTTTTTTTTTAATCTTGAACTATTTAATTAGTTAAATATCCTTCTTCAGATCTGTGTACTTTGAATTTAGAGAATCACAGCTTGAACTGTGGTTTTCTGTTTTCTTACCCCAGTATATATCATCCAATATAATTTTTATCTTCTATTTGTTACATGAAATTTTCTTGTTTGCTGTCACCCTCAGTGGTTTACCAAAACTTCATACATATTTGTTTTGGGTGTGGGGGGCTCGTTTCTAGGGATTTCTAATAGAAATAGTCTACTATCTTGAGCCAATTTTGCTTATCTGTTTTTAATTCTCACCCTCACATGTGAGTAACTAAATTAAAAATTTTTTAGGAACTTTCCATTTTCTTTTCAATTTTAAGTAACAGAAAAGTGATAAGAATAGCATAGAGGACTCAAAATGGCACAGTGAGAACAACCCAGGATTGAAGCTCTCGGTCAATGTGCAGAGAGGGTGAGTCAGGGCCGCATTTCCAGACGGATCTTTGTTGCCCACAGAACGAGGAAATTTCCAGGTATAAAAGAAATGCGGGATGCCAGGCAGAGGTTTTGCCAGTGCTGTAGCGCAGTGGCACTACACAGCGCTCTGCACAGAGAGCACTGGTCCGGGTGCCCTGTTAAACCAGCAATCTGAGACTTGAGAGGGCTGAACTTGAGACTGAATGGGACTTGGACAGTGAGCCAGCCCAGGAGATTCCAGGGAAGCAGCGTTTGGGGTAGCGCAGTGGGACAAACAAAACGGCAATTCCAAACGCTCCAGGCGCGGGCACAGCTGAACCTAGGATGGTGCAGCTCGGTGGGGGAGGGGTGTTCACCATTACCAAGGCAATCCACCCCTACTGAGGTTATACTCCCATTGCTGATGAAGCGTGCCATTGCCGAGGCAACCTGCTACAACAGAGAGACTCCGCCACAGGGCGTAGCCTGTGGCAGCAGGTCAGAGACCACAGCAGAAGGGCAGAGCCTGCAGCAACAAGGTGAACCTCACACCAGCAGGGGGGAGCCTCAGTAGGCAAATAGTGACTAGACTGCCTCCTAGATGAGCAGGAAAGCACAATGGACACTCAAAAAGAAAGCCCCAACCCCCCCGAGACAGAGCATCTGAGAAAAAAAAGGGGTTTTTTATGAGTTCTGTTGCAGCAGAATTAAACATAGCAGCCTAACAGCCCTGAATGAACAACAGAGCTCACAGCTCAGCCCTTGAGCTCCTATAAAGTACAGACTGTCTCCTCAAGCAGCTCCCTGACCCCTCTATATCCAAAAGACTGACATTTGGCAGGCATCATTCTGGGACAAAGATAGCAGAAAAAGAAACTGGTAGCATCCCTCACTGTTCTGCAGCTGCTATAGGTGCACCCCAGACAAGCAGGGCCTGGAGTGGACCTCAGCAGTCATACAGTGGAGGGGCTAGACTGGTAGAAGGAAAACGAAGTAACAGAAATACTTTATCAACAATCTGGGTGTCCACTCAGAGACCCAATAGAAAAGTCAGCAACTACACAGACGACAGGTGGATAAATCCACAAAGATGGGAAGAAACCAAAAAGGAGGAAAACACCCAAAACCAGAACACGTTGCCTCCTAGAAAGGACCAAAACTCCTCACCAGCAAGGGAACAAAGCTGGACGGAGAATGACTGTGACAAAATGACAGAATTAGACTTCAGGAGGTGGATAATGAGAAACTTTTGTGAGATAAAGGAACTTGTTTTAAATCAATGCAAAGAAACTAAGAACCTTGAAAAAGGGTTCGAGGAAATGATAAAAAGAATGGATAACTTAGAGAGGAATATGAATGAATTAAAGGAGAAGAAAAACACAATACAAGAACTTCGTGAAGCATGCACAAGTTTCAACAGCGGAATTGACCAAGCAGAAGAAAGAATATCAGAAGTCGAAGATCAACTCAATGAAATAAAACGAGAAATCAAGATCAGAGAAAAAAGCTCAAAAAGGAATGAACAAAGTCTCCAAGAAATGTGGGACTATGTGAAGAGACCTAACCTACGTTTGATAGGTGTACCAGAATGTGACGAAGAGAATGAATCCAAGTTGGAAAATACTCTTCACGACATTATCCAGGAAAATTTCCTCCACCTAGCAAGACAAGCCAACACTTAAATGCAGGAAATACAAAGAACACCACAAAGATATTCCCCAAGAAGAGCAACCCCAAGGCATATAATCGTCAGATTCAACAAGGTTGAAATGAAGGAGAAAATACTAAGGGCAGCCAGAGAGAAAGGTCGGGTCACCCACAAACGAAAACCCATCAGACACACAGCAGATCTCTCGGCAGAAACTCTACAAGCCAGAAGAGAGTGGGGGCCAATATTCAACATCCTTAAAGAAAAGAACTTTCAACCCAGAATTTCATATCCAGCCAAACTGAGCTTCAGAAGTGAAGGAAAAATAAAATCCTTTGCGAACAAGCAAGTACTCAGAGATTTTGTCACCACGAGGCCTGCTTTACAAGAGCTCCTGAAAGAGGCACTACACATAGAAAGGAACAACCAGTACCAGCCATTCCAAAATCACACTAATTGCTAAAGAGCATCAACATAATAAAGAATCTACAACAACTATTGGGGAAAACAGCCAGCTAGCATCAAAATGGCAGTATCAAATTCACACATAACAATATTAACCCTAAATGTAAATGGACTAAATGCACCAATCAAAAGACACAGACTGGCAAATTGGATAAGAATCCAAAACCCATCAGTGTGCTGTATCCAGGAAACCCATCTCACATGTAAGGATACACAAAGGCTCAAAATAAAGGGATGGAGGAAGATTTACCAAGCAAATGGAGAGCAAAAAAAAAGCAGGAGTTGCAATTCTCATCTCTGATAAAATAGACTTTAATGCAACAAAGATCAAAAGAGACAAAGAAGGCCATTACATAATGATAAAAGGATCGATACAACAAGAAGAGATAACGATCCTAAACATATATGGACCCAATACAGGAGCACCCAGATATATAAGACAAGTTCTTAATGCCTAACAAAGAGACTTAGACTCCCACAGAATAATAGTGGGAGACTTTAACACTCCACTGTCAATATTAGACACATCAACCAGACAGAAAATCAACAAGGATATCCAGGGCTTGAACTCAGACCTGGAGCAAATAAACCTGATAGACATTTACAGAACTCTCCACCCCAAATTCATAGAATATGCATTCTTCTCAGCACCACATCACACCTACTCTAAAATTGGCCACATATTTGGAAGTAAAGCACTGCTCAGCAAATGCAAAACAACTGAAATAATAACAAACAGCCTCTCAGACCATAGTGCAATCAAGTTAGAACTCAGAATTCAGAAACCTACCCAGAACCGCACAGCTTCATGGAAACTGAACAACTGGCTCTTGAATGTTGACTGGATAAACAATGAAATGAAGGCAAAAATAAAGAAGTTCTTTGAAACCAATGAGAACGAAGACACAACATGCCAGAATCTCTGGGACACATTTAAAGCAGTCTCTAGAGGAAAATATATAGCAATAAGTGCCCATATGGGGAGAATGGAGAGATCCAAAATTGACACCCTATCATCAAAATTGAAAGAGCTAGAGCAGTAAGATCAAAAAAACTCAAAACCCAGCCGAAGACAAGAAATAACTAAGATCAGAGCTGTACTGAAGGAGATAGAGATACGAAAAACCCTTCAGAAAATCAATAAATTTAAGAGCTGGTTTTTTGAAAAGATCAAAAAAAATAGACAGACCACTAGCCAGATTGATTAAAAAGAAAAAAGAGAACAACCAAATAAATGCAATAAAAATGATAAAGGGGAAATCACCACAGATTCCACAGAAATTCAAACCATCATCAGAGAATATTACAAACAACTCTATGCACATAAACTAGTAAACCTGGAAGAAGTGGATCAATTCCTTGACTCCTGCATCCTCCCAAGCCTAAACCAGGAGGAAGCTAAAACTGAGTAGACCAATAACAAGGTCAGAAGTCGAGGCAGCAATTAAGAGCCTACCACACAAAAAAAGCCCAGGTCCAGACGGGTTCACAGCCGAATTCCACCAGACACATAAAGAGGAGCTGGTAACATTTCTTATGAAACTATTC